GTGAGTGATTAGGAGCCAGCGGTCCAGGATTGTGAGAGGGATGTCCGACTGCCGGTCCAGGATTGGAGAGGGTGCAGGCTGGGCTGAGGGGACCCCCCCATATACAAATTTCATGCACCAGGCCTCTAGTATAATTATAAACATACATAGATTTACATATATATGGTTGTCCTTACCAGACTATAAGCTCCAAGAGGGCACAACTCATGTCCATTTTGCCTATCACTGAATTCCAAGTGCCCAGCACAGTGCTTGGCACAATAAATATTTTTTAAAATGACCCTGTAAGATGGAAAACTCCATATTTTACATGAGGACACTAAGACCCAGGGTGAAACAACTTTTAAGAACTAAAACAGTATTCTGATAACTAACTAGAAAGCATAAGAAAATTGTTTTCCAGCATGGTCTATTTGATTCTGTAGACTATTAGATTATTACCATCTAGCCCAGCACTGTAGTGTCCCCTTATCTGCAGGAGATACGTTCCAAGACCCCCAGGGGATGCCTGAAACCACAGATAGCACCAAACCCTATATATATGTGTTTTTTTTTCAATTCCTGGCCAGTGTGCATGTGCTCCCCATGGATTTTCTCCAAGTATTCCAGTTTCCTCTCACATCCCAAAGATGTGCACATGAGATGAATTGGCGTGTCTAAATTGTTCCAATCTGAGTGCATGTGGGGGCGGGGGTGTGTGTGAGTGGCCCTATCATTGAAGGTGTCCTGTTCATGGTGGAGTCCTGCCTAGTGCCCTGAGCTGCAGGATAGGCTCTGGCCACCCTTGACCCGGAACTGGGACAAGCAGGTTGAAAAATAATTATCTTATTGTTTTTATTACTTTTCCTTAAATGTATATATAGCTCACATTTATTTCAATGTTTAACTCTAGAAATGTTTTGGTCTTTGTTTAGAAGTTTGGTGGGTTTTGTGGCCAGAATATGCTGTAGAAACTTAACTCCTGTTTATAGCAATCAGACTATGGAAAAACTGGTTTCATTATATGTCATTTTCACTTAAAGAAACAGTTTCCCAAGAACCTATCTATTGCTGGAAGCCGGTCCATCCTTGCTGCTTGACACAGTTGCTGCAGGGAAGAAACATCTGCACAGCATATGTTTCAAGGGACCTGGCGTATATGGCATAGTGTTCTTAATATGTTTGCTCCCCTACTTAGCGCTATGTGTTTACACCAAGTTCACCTCTCTGAGAAAGGTTGTTTCCCCAGGTGGGGATTTTCCCCTGGAGTTAGGGATTAACAGGACTAAGGAAGGGAATAAATCAGTAAAACCCCTTAACTAAGTGCCAGGCGGGTAGTTAATCACTTTAACTACGACCAATCACGCTTAAGCTACATAATCTTTACTTAGGATACTCTCCTTCAGCTACTTCCTGTAGCTTAACAGAACAATAGGGTAGTGACCTTGGAATGGAGATAACAACAAACGCCCTAACCTTTGGAATAGAATGGATAAGATTAAAATCAACTCGTATAAATACAGATGTAACAGGAGAATAAAGACAGAACCTGGCTGGAGAACCTGACTAGAGAACCTGGCTAGGCTGCTGATCAACTGAACGCTGTCTCCATGTCATTCCTTCTTCGCCGACTCCATCCACACCTCTGGGAACCCCTAGACCTGCTGGGGCAAGACCCCAACAATCTATGAATTTAAGTGAGGACTTAGTACACATACATATCTATGATAAAGTTTAATTTCTAAATTAGGCACACTAAGTGATTAACAATAACTAATAATATAATAGAACAATTATAACAAAATACTGTTGTGAATGAAGATTCTCAAGGTATCTTATGGTACTGTACTCACCTTTTCACTTCAAGGAAACACTTTATGGCTTCTCTTTGGTATATCCGAATTACCAACATCACTACTTTTGCGCTTTGGGGCCATTTTTAAATAAAATAAGTGTTACTTGAACACAAGTACTTGGGTACTGGGACAGTCAATTCGATAACCAAGATGGCTGCTAAGTGGCTAAGGAGGGCGTATATAGCGTGGATAGGTGGACAAAGGAATGTTTCATGCCCCAGGTGGGCAGAGTGGCAGGACATCACGAGATTTCATGACACTATTCAGAATGGCTGCAATTTAAAACACTGAGTTGTTTATTTCTGGAGGCTTTCATTTAAGATTTTTGGATCAGACTGTGGAAAACAAACCCGCAGATAAGGGGGAACTACTGTATTGTGGCTTCTACTAGGCTTTTCCTGATGTCCATGAGTTTACTCACATGTGTTTTCAGACTTATAGTCTAAGTGATAAAATTTTTAAGGATTTCTTCCTTAAGAATATGTTCTAATTCTCCTTTAATGTTTTTCATCATTTCAATCATCTACAATTCACGATCCCGGAAAAGTATTTACCTCGTTAGAGTCAAACAAGTGAAATAACTAGCAAAAGACACAGGACATTTTTTTTTTTTCTGGATCAGTGACTGTTCCGGACACGAACATTAAATGACTTAAAACTGTAACTTTCCAGAGTGCTTTCCCCAAAATAGTTTTGTGCAACTCATTTCTAGTCACAGCAGGTAAAATTTCTTCCAAAGCCCTTCAGACTAATTCTATTGCCATTTTTGCTACAGCACAACTGCAGGATTTAAAAGGCCAGGTTTCCATGCAGGCTTTCCTTGTCTCATTTCCTTATCACAGTATAAGAATCTCTGTTGTGTCCTTGGGTACTGCTTCCAGTCAAATAAAAAGTCGACTTAATCACACTGAGAATGTCCAACAATCCCCTGGGAATGGAAAAGGGGAGCGAGGAATGCTTTTGGGGGCTTCTTCAAGAAGTTCCTCTCAAATTTGCATCCTCAAATTTATTCTCGAAGGCACACTTGGGGTTTCTCTTTTTCCCAGCCCCCACTTAAAAAAAACTGTGGTAAAATACAGTAATAACAAAATTTACCATTATGACCATTTTGAAGGGGCATTAAATACATTCACCTTGTTATGCAACCATTACCGCTATCCACCACCAGAACTTTTTTCATCTTGCAAAATTGAAACTTTACCCATTAAACCTAGACAGTAAAATGCTCCTTGAATAGATAATGCCACATCGTTTTATGTTTGCTTTTCTTTTTTTGTTCCAGTTTACGTTCCAGTTGCTGGGTAGGAAAAATTCATTTACTTCACATCCTCACTAACACTTGGTATTTTCCTTCTCTCTCTATTCCACTTTGAAATATAAAAACAACGGAAGCAAAGTGTAGACTGGCTTTGGGAAAACCTTTTAATTTCTGGTTTGGTTCTCTGAATTATTAACCACTTCAGACTTCTCCTTTGTCCAGCCACGAGGTGCGGACTGCGAGTGCGTTTTCGACTTTGTTCAACATGTTTGCTTACTCTGCCCCTCGGACGCCATCCGCTCAAGAACATAAGGTGTGCGGCCAAGGCAAGTCCTGGGTGCCCGGGGGGTCTGAGCGCTGTGCAGGCGACCTTCAGGAGGCCTTCGTCCGCCAGCTTCCCTTTACCAGAATCCACGCTCCAGGAGCTCCTGTAGCCTCCGGAGTGCGTTTTCGACTTTGTTCAACATGTTTGCTTACTCTGCCCCTCGGACGCCATCCGCTCAAGAACATAAGGTGTGCGGCCAAGGCAAGTCCTGGGTGCCCGGGGGGTCTGAGCGCTGTGCAGGCGACCTTCAGGAGGCCTTCGTCCGCCAGCTTCCCTTTACCAGAATCCACGCTCCAGGAGCTCCTGTAGCCTCCGGTCTCCCCGCTGCTCACCGGGTTCCCGGGGGGCAGGGGGGGCG